ACACATGTTAAAGGATCTATAGGTCAGCACACATGTTAAAGCATCTACAGGTCAGCACACATGTTAAAGATCTATAGGTCAGGACACATGTTAAAGGATCTAGAGGTCAGCACACATGTTAAAGGATCTATAGGTCAGGACACATGTTAAAGCATCTATAGGTCAGGACACATGTTAAAGGATCTGTAGGTCAGGACACATGTTATAGCATCTATAGGTCAGCACACACGTTAAAGGATCTATAGGTCAGCACCCATTTGAAAGGATCTATAGGTCAGGACACATGGTAAAGGATCTATAGGCAGGGACACATGTTAAAGGATCTATAGGTCAGGACACATGTTAAAGGATCTGTAAGTCAGGACACATGTTATAGCATCTATAGGTCAGCACACATGTTAAAGGATCTATAGGTCAGCACCCATTTGAAAGGATCTATAGGTCAGGACACATGGTAAAGGATCTATAGGCAGGGACACATGTTAAAGGATCTATAGGCCAGGACACATGTTAAAGGATCTATAGGTCAGCACACATGTTAAAGGATCTATAGGTCAGGACACATGTTAAAGGATCTATAGGTCAGGACACATGTTAAAGGATCTATAGGTCAGCACACATGTTAAAGGATCTATAGGACGGGACACATATTAAAGGATCTATAGGTCAGGACACATGTTAAAGGATCTATAGGTCAGCACACATGTTAAAGGATCTATAGGACGGGACACATATTAAAGGATCTATAGGTCAGGACACATGTTAAAGGATCTATAGGACGGGACACATATTAAAGGATCTATAGGTCAGGACACATGTTAAAGGATCTATAGGTCAGGACACATGTTAAAGGATCTATAGGTCAGCACAGATGTTAAAGGATCATAGGTCAGGACACATGTTAAAGGATCCATAGGTCAGGACACATGTTAAAGGATCTATAGGTCAGGACATGGGTTAAAGTATTCATAGGTCAGGACATGGATTAAAGTATCCATAGGTCAGGACATGGGTTAAAGTACCTATAGGTTAGGACATGAATTAAAGTATATTTAGGTCAGAACATGGCTTAAAGTACCTATAGGTTAGGACATGGGTTAAAGTATCTATAGGTTAGGAGTAGGACACATGTTAAAGTATATATAGGTCAGGACAGGGGTTAAAGTATCTATAGGATATGTCAGACTCTGTAATTTTCTCTGGTCCCCTCCCTGATCTGATCAGTGATGACATGTTTAGCCGCATGTCGTCATTTAACCGCTGGTTAAATCTAGAACAAAATTTAATAAATCAGCAAAGATTCCTAAAGGAGTAAATCCTGATAATCTAATTAAAATTAAAATACCCAATTGGGTAATGTGGCTTATTTAACATGAGATCTCTTTCTTCAAAAAGCCTGCTAGTTAATGACTTGATTTGTGATAATCACATAGATTTATGTTGCCTTACATAAACTTGGCTGCAGCAAGAGGATTATGTGAGCATAAATGAGGCAACGAGTTATTTACATTTTAATATACCCAGAAATTCTTTGCGAGGAGGAGTGGCAGCAGTCTTTCAGTCTGACTTACTGCTTACTCCAAAGGCAGTTAATACCTTACTCCAAAGTGCAGCCTTTAATGCTATCTTGGAAGTTATTGGCTTTGTTCAAAATGTGAATAGTCCCACACATTCTCATCTTCATACTTTGGATCTTGTGCTGACATACGGCATAGAATGTGAAGAAATAACAGGATTTCCTCACAACCCTGTCCTCTCTGACCACTTTCTAATAACCTTCAGGATTACTTTAACAGAGTTCTCCTCCCCCAAAAGAAGGTTCAATTTTAGTAGATCATTATCAGATAGTGCAGTTATACATTTTAAAGAATCTGTTTCACTTTCTCTCTCCTCTGTGTCACTGAGCAGTGCTGCAGAGTGCAAAAGCATAGTTTATTCCCCTTCACAGGTTGATGATTTTGTTGATGGGGTTGCTAGTTCTCTGCATCCTGCCTTAGACAACGCAGCTCCTTTGACAATGAAAAACGTTAAAAATAGAAAGCTGGCTCCTTAGATTAATCCAGAGCTGCGCACTCTGAAGCAAAATGTTAGAAAATTCAAGAGAAAATTGCGCTCCACAGGCCTATGGGAATCCTACCTGTTCTGAAAAAGTAGTTTAATGCTGTATAAGAGGACCCTTTGTAAAGCAAGAGCAGCATATTTCTCCTCATTAATAGAGGAGAATAAAAATATTCCTAGATATCTTTTTAATACAGTTGCCAAAGTCACCCAGAGCCATAGCTTAGTTGAACCGTCCATTCCACCTGCTCTTAGAATTAATGATTTTATGGGATTCTTTATAAATAATATTGATTTTATTAAAAATAGGATCATTAGCAATCCTCCTGTATTTGCCCTGTTAGATCTCAGTGCTGCATTTGACCCAGTTAATCATGATATTCTTTTAGAAAGACTTGAATGTTTTGTAGGAATGAAAGGAACAGCTCTAGACTTAAATATTATCTATCCGATCGATTTCCGTTTGTTCACATTAATGACAAATCCTCCACATGCTCAAAGGTTATCTACGTACGCTTAATTTCCTGGTTGTGTTTTTCAGTTATGTCGCCTCCTTTTAGTCTCAGAAATCAGAATTTCTGAACTTTGAACAGATTTAAGCATAAATGCCTGAAAAAGTCGGAACAAAAAGTCAGGACGGGTGAGGCAGCAAGACCGACCTCTACATCCAAAATAGATGTTTTAATAGCTCTTCATCATTTTGTGATCCTTTATATCAGTGAACAGATCAGTCACAGACCTGAGCCATGGTGAGACCATTTACTGTTTCCCATCTGAACAACTAGACGTAGTAAAATAAACCAGTTTATTAACAATACAAGTGTTTCTGTTTTATTCCTTTCGGTTCCAACAGATAAGTGCAAAACTTACCTGTATGGCAAAAACAAATAAAACTGCTTTGCTAAATGAAATTAATCAATGAAATTTTAAAAGACATAATTAAATCAAATAAGCAATAAAATATCAAGCTTATAAGTTTGTTTTGCAGAATTTATACGAAGCAAAAACCTTTCCAGGGTGAATGGTGGCCTGGTGGTTAGAGTAGTTGGCTGGGACTCTGAGAAGGTTGCAAGTACCTGGTTCGATCCCCAGAGCCTCTATTCTAGCTCCCTGAGGAGGACCCTTAACCCCACACTGCTCCCCGGGCGCCGCACAATGGCAGCCCACTGCTCCCCAAGAGGATGGGTTAAATTCAGAGAGGGAATTTCTCCAATGTGAGATCAATAAAGTTCAATTATTATGATTACTATCATTTAGATATAAGAAAAAATTTCTCAAATTAAGTGTAGTTTGCCTTAACTTGAGCAGATAAATAAGATGATTTGCCAATGGAATTAGTGTTTTTACACTTATAATAAGATAATTAGATAATATGCACTTGAAATAAGAAAATGCAATTGTATTTTTTTCTTATTTTTAATATAAATTGTTTTGTTCCATTAGCAAAGTGTCTCACTTACCTCCTCCATTCAAGCATAAATGACTTCTTTAAAGGTACAGAGGAGGATCTTTTATTTCCCGGTGGATCATCTCAATCTTTGGTCCTCCTAACTGTCAATCATTCTGTTGATATATTTACGTATATTTTTCTGTGCACTTTCAGGCGTATATCTGTGATGAGCTACGGTTTCAGACAGTCATTGAAGCTCGCCTTTCTCACCGCGGTTCTTTAAAAATGGCCGAGGGTTGGAAGAGAAAAAGTGTCTACGGAGCTGTCTTCGCAAAGCATTATGGGAATTGCTGTCACAGCGGCCTGCTGTCGCCATAGACTGTCGCTACCTGACAGCAGCGACTAATAACAAAGATGGCGCGCTGTTTCGGAGGAGTTACGTGACCAACGAAGCAAAAAGCAGTGATCATCTGTCTGAACGGTCAGTTAACTGAGTTCACTATAAAGTTCACTATATAGTCTCCGCACTATATAGTGATGGAGAGATTTAGTGGTTAGGGCGGACGGTCGGACACAGTGAGCTTGGATTAGCTATGAGAACAGCAACTTTTAAACAGAGCGTGCACAAGGAGAAATGCGCTTGTGGGTGCTCGTGCACGTTCTCGCACGTGTTTAATAGGCTTTCCCTCTCGGGAGCGGGTACAGGGTTGTGCACATGATTTTCTTTTGAAGTGGGGATGGAGGGTCTTTTAAAAATTCATGAAAATCCTCCACTGTACCTTTAAATGATTTTTTTGCAGTCTTTCCTTGTCTGTGTGTCAATCTGGCTCCATGTATAAGTAATTATTCAATCATTAAAGAGATTTTGAGGTAAAGAATGCATAGCTAAGTAAATAGTTTGTTCTGTCATATATATATTTTTTCAGAAAACCCCAAATCTGAAATGATTGTTGGGGGCAGATGCAGCGAGGGTAAGTGGATGTGAAGCAGTCAGCCTGTGTCTCTGGAGAATCTTCTAAGGGGGGAAAACGAGCAGCACATCAGAGGGAAGCCGCCGTCTCCAGGCACCTCTTATAGCAGCAGCTCCTTCTACTGCGATAAAAGGTGCTTTGGAAGACCATGGATGGACAGAACCGATACTTTCATAGACAACCAAGCTGGTTTACAGCACAGATATATAAAAACAGGTGCTATTCAGAGCACAGGCGACCTAAACCTAACATTGGATGATGCACAGATAACCTAGATACATTTTTTCCAACGACACTGTCTATTGGAAGAGAATACAGCGTAGAAAGTGTTTTATTGTATCGCTTCTATCCTAATAGTCGCCATAGTGGTTTCCACAAACAGGAAACTGGAACGCTCTCACCACGAACATGAGGCCAGTTCCAAGGTAAACTGAAGGCAGGCTAACGGTGGTGGAAAGAAATAATAACTTTATGGTGGTTGCACTGGAGTCTCATACAGCACCGGGTCTCTGGCTTCAGGCATCAGAGGGTTCAGTTAAATCTCAACAGTTTGTCATCACTGTCTGTCTTTGGTAGCTTACCTTTCTTTTCTTTTCCCTCCTCCTCTACGTCTCCTGCACCAAGCAGGGTGAAGATGATGCCTGTCTGTGAGTTGACGCCTACGGCTGTTACCAGCATCCTGCCTGAGCCCTCCATCACATGGGTACCTTAACAGCCAAACACATCCTGTTAGCTTAGCTTCATAGGCTGAGATGTTTGAGAAGTTCTATGCAGGTTGGTTTAATTGGAAACGTGGAGCATCTGCAGAGAGGACAGTGAGGACTGACTGTCCCTGCATCCATGACCTATGCAAAAATAAATAATTAGCACCTCCATCCTGGTCTGTAGAGATGTTAGACCAACACATATAAAAGGAAGGAAATTATCCACGGTTTCAGCTTGATGGAACTACCTTTAATAAAAACATCCACCGTTATTTTGCATTTTAATAACTCTTTGCAAATCTAGAGACTGAAATTATTCCTTAATCTTTTTAACAAAACAGCTCAAGCCCAGTCTGATTGGACGGTGAGCATCAGTGAGTTTCCAAGTTTGGATTCAGGCCTGGGCTTTGACTAGGCCATTCTGACGCAGGAATATGTCATTCCAATCCAGCTCTTGCTCTATGTTTGGGATCATATTCCTGCTGGAGTTTCATACTTTAGTTATTATTTTATAACCCCTCCATAGTTACCAGGAGCTCCTCAGCTGCTTCTCTGATTAACGCTATGCTCACCAGTTATGGTAGCCTGCCGTGTCTTGATAGGTTTGCAGTTGTGATGTTTTTTACTGAGTTTTTAATTTAGTTTTTAGTTTTCAGTTCTCACTTATTCTGTTTTGTTTATCTTTGGTTTATTTTCCATTATATTCCAGCAGTCTTGAGTTACTCTCTGCTGCCCCCTTGTGTTTGTTTCCTTTCCCCTTGGCTTCCTTCTAGTTAGTTCCACTCACACCTGCTCCATATTCAGCTCATTGGTCCATCGTTCTGTTCCCCTTGTATACTCCACCTCTGCAGTCACTCAGGGCTGGTTCCTTGTTGTTGTTTTGCTGTTTCCTCATCTCTGGCTCTCCATGTTATTTTTCTCCTGATGTTTTCTGTTTTTTTTTTTTTTTTGGTTCCTTGTATTTTTGTATCAGTTAACTTATTAAATCTGCAAGACTCACCTCTGCCTCCTGATCTCTGCATTTGGGTCGTCCAAAACCATCCCACCCCACCATGACCCATTAGGTTATGTCTGGCACCACTGGGTGTTATTCAGTAAAGGGACTTCATACAGACGTTCACTACAGTTTTCAGAAAGTTCTTTCTAAGAAAGTTAGAATTGCTACACATGTTCTATTCACCTCTGGAACCTCTTTAAATAAACCATAAACCATAATCTAAACCTCTTGAAATAATTTGTCAAGATAAGGTTGATAAATAAAAACAAAAAACAAAAATAGTTTCACCATGATGTTCAAAATGTTATAAACTAACTAGAGGCAGACTCTGGGTTGGATTGAGGTACATTAATGGCCATTTTTTTGTGGTACTGTTACGTTTCTTCTGCCTATACGCTTTCTATTGTTTTACGTCCTAGTCACGTGACTTTCAAGATTCCAGCTGGGAGAAGAAAAAAATATATATAGATGGCCGACATTCGCTCATTTTTTTGTGGAAAGATTAATAACTTGAGTTTGTTTTTACATTAAAATGAGTTTTGATTACATTTCTAGTGAGAAATGTATAGTTTGTTGCCAGAATATTTACTCAGGGAATGTACATATTCACTTGCTTGTTCGTTTCTTGCAAAGATTTTTCAAGATAATGTGAAACTGAAAAGTTTTGGTATAAACATGGCTGAGATTTCTCTAACTTTTAGTGGGAAAATTAATAATTTCAATCGGTTTCTGCATTTAAATGGGTTTTGATTACCTTTATAGCGAGAAATGTAGGGTTTATTTACATAATATTTACTTCGTGAACATACATAATCACCCGCTTGCTAGTTTTTGCTACGGGTTTTCGGATCTCGTCCGGATTGTGTGAAATTGCAACGTTTTGACTGCTACCCACGCCTAGCATTTAGCTGCCGCCCCGATTCAACATTGAATTCTTTGTGATTTAACTCCATCTGACGGATCAAACCCTCGCCACTGCGTGCGTTGCGTCTGAGGTTGATTTTCAGATCAATGCATTACGTCAAGAAACGAACAAGCAAGTGAATATGTACATTCCCTGAGTAAATATTCTGGCAACAAACTATACATTTCTCACTAGAAATGTAATCAAAACTCATTTTAATGCAAAAACAAACTCAATTTATTAATCTTTCCACAAAAAAATGAGCGAATGTCGGACATATATATATTTTTTTTTCTTCTCCAAGCTGGAATCTTGAAAGTCACGTGACTAGGACGTAAAACAACAGAAAGCGTATAGGCAGAAGAAATGTAACAGTACCACAAAAAAATGGCCATTAATGTAACTCCACTACATTTTGCAGTGTGGACCAACGTAGTGGGGGTACATTTTCCCATGAGACTGGGTTGGATTTATAGTCCTTTGCAACTGACTGCTGCTGTTGGTGAGACCTGGTTCTGGTTCTGCTGGAGGTTTCTTCCTGTTCAAAGGGAGTTTTTCCTCTCTACTGTCGCTACAAGCATGCTTAGGGTGAGGGATTGCTGAAGAGTCAATGAGTCGATCCAATCAGCTGGTTCAATCTGACAGGATGATCTGGTTGAATTGGATCTATAAAGTGACCTGAGATGACATGATGTGAATTGGAGCAATAGAAATAAACTGAATAGAGCTGAATTGAATCAGATGAATGTTGGCTGATATCAACATTTTCTAAATGTGACGAGCTTTTCTCATTCAGTGACTAAAATCCCAGTAACTAAGGACACAGTGTGCATTCCACTGAGGAGAAAGGGTTGTCCGATGGAACCGGCAGGTATGTCGGGGAGATATTGATCCTCTTGGATCAGATCAGGGAATAAATGGGATATATTATATGGAGATTTCCCTCTCAGACTTGCACCGCTTTTGCTGAATTTATTAGTGTGTCACAGATTAAATCTCCTTCCAGGGATCTGCTGCTGATTTAAGGCGTGACAACTGATTTATCTTCAAAATTGGGGGAACAATCTTCTTCCTTCCAGTTACCTGAAACCTCAACAGGTCTGACATGAAGAGCAAAGTCTCCAGCACACTGAGGGAAAACTGAAGGGAGGGTTTTCTGATGTTATGGTTCTGTGAGAGCACAGCAGGGATGTTAAAGCTACCTGAATCTGATCTGCAGATCTCATTAACTCCTGACCAGCATGCTCTCCAATAACCCATACCAACACCTTCCAAGTGGACAATCTATAGGATTGTATCTGATAAAACGTTTATTTGCAACTCTGCTTTTTAAAACAAGCAAATCCTAATTAAAACTCTAACAGATTTTAAGACGTAAAACGTGGAATAAATAAATGATAACAGAGTAAAAGTGATCTCCAAATGAAATGGAACTGACCTGAGAGCAGCATGGGGTCCTTGTCCACAGATTTGCGGACATGGTCAGACTCTCCTGTCAGGGAGCTTTCGTCGATCTTCAGGTCGTTGGCTTGGACCAAGATACCGTCAGCAGGAAGAAGGTCACCTGAAGCAAAAATCACTGTTACTTCCTGTTAGGTAGTGACGCCTTTACATCCTGAAGGAATCAGCAGCAAATCTAAAGACTAAATAATAAAAGAGGAAACAGGTTAATAAAGTATTTCTATTAAATGTAGAGTAGCATAACGGTAAATATAAATTCAAATATAAACTCATTCTTCACGGATATAAGGTAACTAAATATTATTTTATAGTGATACAAACGCCAGAATAAAAGGCGATTAAACATGAATATTGTTTTTATTTCTATAATCTAAATCTTTAATCTGTAATTCAAGTTTTAAAGTTGAACGTTTAATGAAACAGGAAGAGCTGGTTATTGTGAAGCAAATGGTGACGAGTTTTTAGAACGATCAGAATTAAAATTAAAAGCTTTTCCAGATTAAAATGAAAACAAAACTCTTTGGTGCGAAAACACTTACTGAGTGCAACGACTAGAGGTTTTCAATGTCTTTAAAATAAGTTTTAACCTTTTTTGCCAACATGTTTAGGCCGCTATGCTGTTTATTCTGAGACTTTCAGCTGATAACAGGAAACTAAACTTATGTTTTAGTCATGCTACAGATGCTAACATACTGAACAAACATGTTAACAGTAGGGGTGTGGAAAATAATCGTTTTGGCGACATATCGTGATATTCGGCTGCCCAATATAATATCGATCTTTCAATTCTTAGTATCGATTTAAAAAAAAAATGGTTACATAAAACATTGATGGGAAAATGGGCTACCTCTGCACCCCCACTCTGGCTGTGGAGCCCTTTAACTGTGCGTGCAGCACCAAATCTGTATTTGAGGCAGTCACAGTGGAAGAAAACCCCAAACAACATAGATAATAATACCTAATCAATATTTTCTGATGAAAATATACAGCACTTGCTGTTTTATCTCATCATTTGATTTTGATAGCTGGGGAAAATATGGCAATATATAGTGATACTGCAATATCGTGATAATATCATATCGTGACCCAAGTATCGCGAAATGTATCGAATCGCAACACTCATGCCAATACTCACCTCTAGTTAACAGCTACCATAAAAACATGCTAAACCCTGCTATTAAAAATATGTTAATGGTTACAATAAAATAGACCAATATCGATTTGGTACATATTTATAATGTGGACAGAAATCGTTTGTTATTTGCAGTGTTTACTAAAGTGCTTTGATTCGTGATCTGGATGTATTTCTGGTTGTACGTTGAGAAATGAGGCGACAGTGTTTCCTGTAGAGATCAGGTCACGATACTAAACCCAACCTACAAACATGTTAAAAGCCCATCTAGGGACAAGTGCTGCGAATTAGCTGTTGCTATTGCACCATGATGCAAACATGGGACTGCTGTTTCATTCAGTTTGTCTATGTAAATGTGTGTCTGTCCCTATCAAATAAACTTTAATAATGTTAATAACCAGAGACGGATCAATACATCGTTTTTTTTTCTTGGTTGGACATAACCGATACATTCATGTGATAAGACCATTTAGTTCATTTATTGCTGCTCCCTCCCTCTGCTACGCAGTGTGGATATATTTCCTGGATTTGTTAATAAATGTTTCTTTGTTTAAACTTTGACATGTGAAACTATTATCGAAGATCATTTTAAGTGGGTTTATCAGAATAAATGGAGCGGACCAATAAAACATGATAATGGTTGTAGCCTTATTGGTTGAGTGAAATCCTGCTTTATGCTAACAGACATCCTACTTTAGCAGAGTTATCCTGAATGAGGGAAGCTGAGCTGAATAGAAGGGGCGACGGTGACGTCGGATGAAGGAGTTCACCCTTAAATCAAAGGGTTGTCAGTTCAATCTCAAGCTCTGGTTTTGAGTGTCTTTGGGTCCTTGGGCACTTCACCCACATCGCCTGATGGTGGTGCCGCCAGCGTACGGCAGCCTGGCTCCTGTCAGTGAGCCCCAGAGCAGCTGTGGCTACAATGCAGCGCACCACCATCGATGAATGGGTTAATGGATTCACATGATTATATAAATACAGGCCGTTTAGCATAGGTGCAGACCAATGTCAACATGACATATTTCTGCCTTGAGTTGCTGGACGCCCGGCTCTATCAACCAATCAGCTGGTTTATACCAAACATTTGTTATTCTGTTCACTTAGGTCCACATTAAAAGTATTATTTTTAGTTTTTAGTTTAATCCAAATGCAATTTAATCATAGAGTGAAATTTTGCACCTGTAAAAATAGTTTGAGTGTTTTTGATATTATCTGGACTTTTCTCTGTTCTTCCACTTATTACACTATATTTCCAAAAGTCTTTGCTCACCCATCAAATGATAGGAACCGATTATTCCATGGCTTCGGTTGATCAAATGAAGCACCTTGGCAGGTAGACTGTTTTTATGAACATTTGTGAAAGAGTCTCTCACTCTCAGGAGCTCCATGAACTCCAGCATAAGTTTCTGATAGGATGCCACCTCTGTAACCAATGGTGAAATGTCTGCAGTCAATCACATTTCCAAACTTCCTATGGCCTTCAGATTAGCTCCATGACAGTGTGCAGAGAGCTTTGAGGAGTGAGTTTCCATGGTTGAGCAGCTGCATCCAAGCTGCATCGGATGCAGGGCTGCATGGTGCCGCTGGACTTTAGAGCAATGGAAACAAAATCTCTGGAGAAATTAGACAGGCTGGGTCTGAACCAGGACAACCATCAAAACCAGACTCACAGGCTGCGTCCAACCATCCGTCCTGATCTCTTTATAGTGGTTACACCATTTTAAATGAGCGTCTGAATGTCTAATGAATAAAAAAGGTGCATTTCCCAAAATGCACCTTGAAAAGTGATCATCTATGTGATCATCAGTGATCATCAGCAGTGATCATCTATGGTCACTAGACAAGCAGGTATATCCCAGAATGCTGTGTGAGGAGAGCTCTGCTTGCAAAGCATCATGGGATTTGGTTGTCAAAGAACAAGATGGTGCAGGCACAGTGCGGGGAGGCGGGGAGGCACGTGACCAACAGGAAGTCAAAAGTAGTGATCATCTGTCCGAACGAAGAGTTTACAAGTCCCCACTCTATGTAGCGATGGAGGGGTCAGAGGTCAGGGCCGACGTTTGGACACAGCCAGACCCTTGTCTAACTACACTGTGCAAAGTATGAAGTCTGGTGGAGGGGGGGTTATGCTGTGGGCTGGCTTTTCAGGAGCTGAGTTTGGTCCCATGGTTTCAGTGAAAGGAACTCTGAAGACTTCAGCAGACCTTTCAATCATATGCTCCCAACTTACTGGGAAGGAGCTGGATCCGTCCTTTGGACCAGAGTCCATAAAGACATGGACAGAAGAGTCTGGTGTGGACCTAAAACCCACTGAAGATCAATTAGGAGTAGAGACTGAGAGATAGGCTTCTGTCCAACATGTGACCTCACAAATTGCTTCTGAAAAAATGGTTAAAACATTTCCTAATCCTAATCCTAGAGGACAGCCTTCCAAGAAGAGTTGAAGCTACAAATGCTGACAGATATCATACTGAAGCCCTTTGGATTAGGAATGGGATGTTACTACAGCTAATCTGTGAGTGAAGATAGGTGAGCAAATTCTTCTGGTAATATAGGGCATTACAGCAGATAATATAAACCCATATATTATGCATTTCACTAACACAAAGATCCATTTTCATTTGTTGTGTGGAATGATGCAGATGGGGAGGTGTTCCCTACCGTATTTGACCTGAGCCATGTCTCCCACCACCATGTCGGCCACCGGAATCTGGATGACGTTTCCTTTGCGAACCACAGCAAACCTTTGTTCTTGCTCAATCCGACTCTGCAGACCTCGAAATTGTTTTTCTTTGGACCAGTCGTTAAACGCCGTCACCAGGACAACACATACAACAGAAAGCAAGATGGCCGCGCCCTCGATCCAGCCTGCGTCAGCCTCCCCTTCATCCTCTGCTCCAGAACTGACTTCCCCACACACTGAAGAGAAGACATGGAGATTAACCAGGTTACAGGTGTCAATCAAACCTCGTTACTTCATTTATCAGTTACAAAAATGGGGGGGTAATGCAAAATTCTGTTACACAGCAAAGTTAAACAGAATAATTTAACTTTTGAAGTGTTGGTTTTGCAATTTGAAGGAGATTGTAGTTTATATCATTTGCTTTTGCTGCACAAAAATAAAATTGTAAGCTAAAGAGGGTTTCAATAAAAAAAGTTTGGAAACCACCTGAATTCATTTTAAGAAACAGAATTTAAAGCCCATTTAATACATCTTTAATAATGAGTGTTTAGTTAATATGTACATTTTACAAGCCGACTTCTTAAAGAGGTGGATACGTGTTGTTTTTTTGATTTGATTGATTTTTTTGCACTGCCATTCATATTTCCAAATATATGCGACTTCTAAGTGATCTCCTGTGTGAACTGCAGTCATACAACACAAGTGTCCCGCATGCGCCGTAGAGGACGCAGTGACGTCACAGGCCAGCGAGCTCCATGTTTACGGAAGTAAACACGGACGGTAGTGCCGACACGCATCTAGTGATCTTTTCCAACCATAAAAATTAAATCTTTTCAAAATGTTTAAACATAAATACTGCTCTCCGGAACATAATCTGCCATTGTTGTTGTTTTTCTTGCAGCTTCTGCGTAGCAAGATGCAGAATAGTGACCTTTGTCGGTTATTAATGGCGTTCAGGTGAATCCGAACTGGACAATCAGACACAGGTCGCGTTTGAAAAGATCAGATTGGTATCGGATTCAGGACCACATAGCCAAGTGGCCTGGGTCGCATTGGAAAAAATCGGATCTGTGTTGTTCAGACTGCCATAAAAAGATCAGATCCAGGTCGCATACGGGCCAAAATATCGGATTTGGGTCACTTCAGGCTGCAGTGTGAATGTAGCCATAATTGTCATGATCTGCTCTGATAGCTGGCCTTAATTGCTAATTTCACTCACCTGCCTAGTTCTGCCCAGTTCTCTGATCTCATCCACCTGTTGGTTCTGCTTTATATTCAGTCCCGCCCAGCTATCAGGGCCAAATCATTGTTTGCTTTCTGTTTGTTCCCCGTTTGATTTCTGTTAGTGTCCTGTCTTTCAGTTTTAGTTATTTTGGAGGTCCCTGTTCCAGTAAGAGTTTATTCTCAACCCAGTGTCTTCAAGCTAGTTTTAATCACTAACCAGCGGTGGGAGTGTTTCAGCATTTCCAGGGTGATTGTGTTTTCCTGATTCCGTTCCCTCTCACCCACTGGCCCTGCTGGTCTGTTTGCCTGAACCTCTGTTGGACTCCTGCTGGATTCAGCATGTCTGTGCGTTTCTGTTTGAGCTGGATGCTCGACACACAGGACTCTGAACCTGCCTTCACGCTCTGATGGATTCCTGGAACTTGGATCTGTGAGTTCCTGAGTGGACCGTACTGTTAAACCAGAATCAGTGATGCGTTGGGCTCCACATCTGCAGTCACTGTGGACGCAGTTCCACAGCAGTGCGCTTCTGTTCTCTCTGTTTTTGTTTCAATAAACGTTTTGAACTTTCCTACTGCCTGTCTCACCTTGAATAATGGGTCCATCTGTCCCGTTTTTTTGACAATAATGTGATTTATTCAGTGCATGAACTCATTGCATTTCAGTTATCATCTGAACGTGGAATGTGAAGTTAGAGTTAAATTTGAAGTTGATTTACTTCAACCAAAAATATTTTATTTAAAGGAATAAATAAGAAGAATAAAAGACTTTTTAAAAATCTATTTATGCATATATTTATAAAACTGGCATGTTTTAAATTATTTATGGTTATCTGTGGCTGGATCTACTTAAGTTTGGCTAATATGGAGTAAAAATCTGCATGAATGTACAATAAATATCTCAGTATTTGTTAAATCCTGATTCACCACCCATCCATGATCTTGCATCAGGAAGCTGATCCGTTTCTGCAGGCACTTCCTGGGGTTACTGGTGAGAATGTGATGCTTTTCACCAATAAAATTTTTTCCTGTTACTTTCTCTCTCAAGGTCATGGCAACCGCACAGAGGACACAAAGAGTTTGGATTTTTTTCAACAGTTTCCTAAAGTAGGAGAACTGTTTAGAGTTTCAGAAACTGTTTTAAGCATAAACTTAACATTTTAAATGCATAGATTATCTTCATGCAGATTATTGACCGGTTAGCTGCAGCTTGCATGTGCAGCGTTAGCCAGTGTACACTCTGAGGTTTAAGACTGAACCACATCATCCCACATCTGCATCCTCTGTTTGCTCAGGCCACTTCCTTTCCACTAAAACGCCACAGCTCAACCTTTCTTTCTTTTCAGGCTTTTTAACATGATTACATTTTTCTTATTATTACCATAAAAAGATAAGGTATTAAGCAACTTAATAAATCTAATCTTGAGACAAATGCTTGAGTCTGTCTTTATTCCATTCAGTATGTTTGCTTTATCTGAATCAGTGTTTAACCAATGAGTGGGTTAGAAAGGCAGCACAATGATTATGTAGTCAGAGAGAAAATTTTACAATAATTTGCAGAGAAAATGTCTTTTTCCTGTTGCTTTTATTGTGAAAGCGTATCTCCACATCTATGGCCTGCTGTTCGGTTTAGTAGGTATAACTCACTGCTTTATTCTTATCTCACAAGATTCAGACTAAACTCTAAGAAAAGGAGAAACTTTTTTTCTGAGTCACAGATTTAGTCAGAGTTACAAAAGTTCTTGAAAGAATCCAAAACTGTGACAAATTTTGAAAATGGATGCTGCTTTTGATCGATAAAGAGAGTAAATGCGTGTCAATCATGAGAGAATACAAGATAAAAGTCTTAGAGATAAATAAAAAGTAGATAAAACTCTTGGCTGTCGTCAGATAGTTGTCTAGTTAGTGTAAAGTGTATTAATAATCTGGTTGTGACTGTTGGAAACATCCAGCCAGTCTGGGCCAGAAGTCAGCAGCATATAACAGCCTGTGTATGAAGGTTAGTCAGCAGCCAGGCTCAGACCTGGAGGTGGGAACTGGACCTAAAGCACTGGAGTAGGGTCTGCTCCAATCATCTCACTTTCACATTAGTCTAGCTTTAATCTTGTCAGGCTTCTGTGTTCTATGCTCTGCTTACTCTTTTCCACTGGTGGTTGTTGTTGACAGGTGGGCGTGGCCCCGCACCTGCGGCTCATTAAGGCTGCTCTGCTGAGCTTAAGATGAGCGTTCGGTCAGCTTAAGGACGCCAGAGTATTCAAACATTGTGGTACGCTTAGACCTCTGTCCTGTCGACAGATCTCTGAAACCTGATGTTTGGATTCTTGATTCTAACCTGTCTCCTGTCTCCCCTTAGTTCGTTGAGCTCTGGATTGCTCACCCGTCTGTCTCCGTGCTTTGAAGACTGGTCTCTGTTGCCCTCTGTACTACCAAGCCGGACAAGAGACCCCTTTCCTGGATTCACACTGGTTCCTTCAGCTGCTCCTCAAACCTGCATCCCCTGCGGTACTGCTCGGGCCCCCACCTAAAGGGCTGGTTATACTCCCGCAGCAGTTTGTCGCAATGAGCTTGACGCAGACATTTTTGATTTATGTTCGAGTTTGAAGTGTGATCTACGCCACGCCACAACGCAAGAGGTACAATCACGAACTATCTATAGATATGGCCGAGGAGGTGAGGAAGTGGGGGCAAGTTTGAGCGACAACGGAGGGACATGAGGGCAAAAAAGAGCGGGGATCCAAGTGGAAAAAGGGTCCCAGCGTTCTTGTGCACCTCGCTCTTCTAGATGGTCCATCTTCATGAGTTGTTCTCTGCAACTGCGGTCATACAATCAAAACAAGCCGGCAAGCGGATGTAGAATTGATCAATCATATGCCTCCTGTCTGCAGCACTGTCTGCGGTCACCTACAATTTGGGAGAGGTGCAGCAGTGTCTTCGGAGGGGGCCGGGACGTCTTTGCGTTCACTGCGACACCTACGCACACAACTGAGTTTCAAAGTATAAATCAGCCTTAAGTCCCACCTGTCGCTCAGCCACCTCCTCCCATAGGAAAGCTGTGAGTTACCATTCCTCCACTCACCCTCCCCGGATAGGTTATCTGTACCTGGCGGTAAGCAGAGCAGCAACAGCGCAGGTTTCTTTAGTTTTTTCTAGTCTTAATCAGTTTCCTCTTTCCTCCCACAGATCCTCGAACTGTGACGTTCCAAACCTCTTATTTGTGTGTAGTCTAATAAACATTTTAAACTGCTCCTTGTTTCCCCATCTGTGTCTGCATGTGGGTCAAACGCCTTAAAACCATGACAATTTTTAGATTTCTCTTTTCTCTAAATTTGAAATCTGACATATTTGCATCTAGAACAGCTGACGGTTGAATTTGAACACATTGATAACTGTAACTGAGCTGAATATATTTTTTTTCTTTTTATAAAAACATAAAAGCCATCAGAAATCTCCCTCACTGAGCTTCTCTTAATTCATCTGTGAACAAATACTGGGCTGCTGGCTGCTCATAATCTCTTTTATGCTGACTACTGTCCACTATTTAACACTTAACTATTTTCTCAGAAGCCTGTTCGGATGTTGTTCTTTACTGCAGCGGTTTTTTACTCCTGGGAATCATTAGGGCTTTATTTTCATTTTCACTTTCTCGCATCCCCATCAAACTATCCCCTCTGCCTGTTTCCTCACATTCGCTTTCCTTCCCAGGCGGCTGGTAGAAGGAGAGACCGAGGGAAATGATGGCAGCGGCCTCCAAGATGATGAGGGTGACGTCCTGCAGAGCCTCCCACACCAGCTCCAGGAACGTCTTTGGCTTCTTTGGGGGAATGAAGTTCCGGCCAAAAGCTTGATATCGACGTTCCAGGTCTGCTGGGTCACCGCTGACACCTGAAGGATAAAGATGGAGATACAATTAATGAAAAGATGAAATCCAGCATGATGGATGGATGGATGGATGGATGGATGGATGGATGGATGGATGGATGGATGGATGGATGGATGGATGGATGGATGGATGGATGGATGGATGGATGGATGGATGGATGGATGGATGGATGGATGGATGGATGGATGGATGGATGGATGGATGGATGGAACCTGAACTGTACTGGATGTGTTTTAAAGGTCAAATGTTTATTGAATGATAGTTGAAGTATTTGCTAAGATTATGATAGCAATATGGTCAAAAGCTGGTTTTCTAGAACTAGAGTGAACAGATTAGGCTCCATCATCAACATAATAATGTAACACGGTCTGGGCGTCTATTATAAATACTGAAGTAAACATGAAGCAACTTATTTCAATTCTACTGGAATCTCTATGGTGACGCATTTATAACCACTTAGTTAGAAGCTTAAAAAGAAATATGACTTAAAAATCAAGTTAAAAAGTATGGGGTTTGATGCCTGAAATATCTGATAATGTTGCTTTTGCTCCTTTAGACGAAAAATGGACAGATTTAAATAATAGGATTATAAACATTTTGTGGAGCCCACCTAGAGGTGACTCCTGAGCTCAGTATTTTCTGGGCCCTGCGTACATCCCTCTGGTTTTCTGTCAGACTGATCACACTGAGCCTGGTTCTGCTGGAGGTTTCTTCCTGTTCAAAGGGAGTTTTTCCTCTCCACTGTCACTACAAGCATGCTTAGTGTGAGGGATTGCTGAAGAGTCACTGAGTTGAGGCAATCAGCTGGTTTACCTTAGATAGAAAACTTTGAACCAATCTGACTGGATGATCTGGTTGAATCGTCTCTATAAAGTGACCTGAGATGTCATGATGTGAAATGGAGCTATATAAATAAACTGAATAGAATTGAATTAAATCAGATAAATATTGGCTGATATAAACATTTTCTATATGTGACAAGCTCTTCTCATTCAGTGACAAAATCCCATTTTTAGTCTCAATAAGGACACAGTGTATGTGTGGCACCCGAGAGGTGCAATCGTCTTAAATAAAACCATAAAACCAAACAGACTGCGGCGATTGTGAGCAGGGCTTTAAAAAGTTTAATCGATTAAAATCCAATAAAAAAAAAAAAAGACAAGTTAAAAGGAAAGAGATTAAAAAGAAAGATAAAAATACAGATGGTGAAGAGCAGCAGAGTCAATGGCCCAGTCTGTTAAAGGACGCGTACTTGGCGGGTACAATGGAGGGCACCGTCCACCCCAGCGCTGGGTCCTCTTTCCGGCACGCTGCGCGTGTGGGCCTCTCCAGCATAGCTGGCCTGCGAGGTCACCTCCAACACGCGCCTCTCGCCAGCGTGCCTCTGCGCCTCGCTCCATGGCGAGTCTCTGCACCTCGCTCCGGCGTGCGTCTCTGCACCTCGCTCCGGCGCGCGTCTCTGCACCTCGCTCCGGCGCGCGTCTCTACACCTCGCTCCGGCGCGCATCTCTGCACCTCGCTCCGGCGTGCATCTCTGCACCTCGCTCCAGCGGGCCTCCGGCCGTCAGTCCCCAAACCTCTCCCGCTGCTTCTCGCTCACACGCTCTGTCCGACTCCCTCCGTGATTGGCCTTCCGATGTCTGGTGTGTCTCTCCAACCCAACCTTCCCATGTCCGGTCTCTCTCCAACCAAACCGCTGCCTTTTTTAAATCAGCGTCCCAGTCGGCACGCTGCTTGGTTGATGGGGAACACCTGTGCCGTTACTGTGGGCGTGTCCAGGTGTGAGTGGCAATGTGGCCTCCAAACAAAATCCCCCCCAAAAAAACATGCAACACACAAAATTGAAAACAAGAAAACAAGTTCAAAAATAAAGAAAATCCAAAATTAGAAAACATGCAACAACTTAACAAAAAGGCCACATTACCACATCCCCCCACACTTTAACAAGGCCCGTCCCAGCCGATCCATAGTCCTGAGAGCACATTCCCATCTGATCTTAAAAAAATAAATAAAATTAAAGCCACAAGTGGCATTGTGCGGCCCTCGCAGCTCGCACCGCCTGGTATGTTGCGATCGCTGGAACCAAGCGACCTCCACCTCCATGCTCCTTCCCAGCCTGTGCTCCTGCTCTTCAGCCTATACCTGCTGCTGCTTCTCTTTATCCTCCCCCTCCTTCTTATTCTGCTGCTGCCACTGTTTCTCCTCCACCTGCAGCCTCTCCTCCTCTTACTCATCCTCCTGCTAATGCAGCTTCTCCTCATCATCCTCCTGCCGCTGCTTATCTTGCTGCGTCTCCTTCTCCTCCTCCTGCTGTTGCTCTTGCTGTATCTCCTTCTCCTCATCCTGCTGCTGCTCTTGCTGCATCTCCTTCTCCTCATCCTGCTGCTGCTGTTTCTCTTCATCCCCTGCCTGCTGCTGCTTCTCCTGATCCTCTTCATCCTCCTTATCCTGCTTCTTTTCATCCTCCCCCATTCTCCTTCTGCTGTTTCTCTTCCTTACCACCCTCCTCCTCCTTGTGTTGCTCATTCTCCTCATCCTCCTGTTGCTCCTGCCTATCTTCATCCTTCCCCTCCTTCTGCTGCTTTTCTAAATCCTCCCCTTCCTTCTACTTCTCCTTATTATCATCCTAATCA